TCTAAACTGTATAAATAATGTAAAATTAAATTGAATTTATTAGCCAATCAGACGAACTTCTGCCTATGTATGTAATATAAAAATACCTATATATGACTCTACTAAATCTGGTATGGAATAAATAGAGATGGGCAAGATAATTACTTATTACATAAAAAGTCCCACTGCATAATGTGATGATTTTCTAATAAAATATAATTGCAACTAATAACATGTTAAATTGTCACTTAATGTGAAGTAACTTACTGCATATTAAGCAATTATCTTGCTCATCTCTAGGAATAGACCAACACCAAACATATAATGCACTCATTTTGAACAGTTCAAGTGCCTAGTTACCATAGTATATTTTTGTGTTATTTGGGGTTGCAAGTGATCTTCATTCTGGGATTTTCTCAACATAAATGTACCCAAAGTGTTGCAAATTATACACTAGGTAAAAAAATTATGTCAGACATTTAATTAAGTAAGCTATGCATAATAATATAACAATAAGGATTTTATACTGTATGTACATTAAAAAAGACAGGTAACATATAATGTAGCAGAAAAAATTCACGATTAAATAATTTTTGATCGTTCTGAACCAATTAACATACAAGCTTATATATTACTATATTGTTAATACTACGACTATAATAATGTGGGAGGATTATGCTGAAATTTAGGGTCTTAGTTTGAAAATATAAGCCTTACTAAAATCAATTAACTCTAAAAAAAAAGTGTAAAAACATCCAAAAGATTTTTTAAATTTTTATATAAAAATAGAACCAATTTTCAGATAACCTGATAACCAGATAATTTATAACATGTTGCCTTGTAAACTTTTGTTTGATTAGTTGATTACCTATAGTGTATATCAAATGCTTCACGATATATTAATGAGATGCTAGATAGTTCTCATTTGTATGTTACTTGGACTATTTGTTAACTACAATATTTGCTTTCATTCCCAGTTTCTCTCGCGACTGTGTCACACAGCTACCTTATATTTATTTTAATCAAACTGCTATATTTATACATTTATTTTAAAAGGTTTTAATTGCCCAGATAACTTATTAATATACTTTACTAGTTTTATAATTTTTATATTAAATCAATTATGCTGAAATTACAACATTAATTGAATCAGCTGAAAAATCATTCGGCTAATTTTTTTCCTTAGAGGTCTTTGCTTTTGAGATCATCACAAGACACTGTTTTATTCAGCCAATTTTTTATCTGATGTTTCAGAAATTATAAAACAGCTGTGAAATATCAGGTTTCAGTCTTAGTTGGGATCCTGTCTTAGCCTGAATTCTGTTTTAGTCTGGATTCTGTCTTAGTTGGATTCTATCTTAGTCAGGATCTTAACTTTCAGGATTTTGACTATTCAGGATTTTAAACTGTCGGGATTCTGTCTTAGTCAGGATCTTGACTATTTCGAGATTTTTAACTGTCCAGATCCTGTCTTAGTTGGGATCTTGACCTTTGGGATTTTTGATAGTCGGGATTTTGACCATTCAGGATTTTGAATATCGGAATCTTGACTTGTTGGGATTCTGTCTTAGCCGGGATTTTGACTTGTTGGGATTCTGTTTTAGTCAGGATTTTGGATGTCAGAATTATGTATTGCTGGGATCTTTGATATCAGGATTTTGTGATAAATCTATGCATCTAATGGAAGTAAATACGTTTTTACTCTCTTTGATTCTAATGTTTCTTCTAATACTATATTATTATCTTCTATTGCTTCCTAAATATGACCAACACCATCAGTCACGTCTAAAACAGAATCAAGCGTATTGTCTATATCATTTTCACTCACATCCATATCAATTTCTTCGACTTTCTCATAAATATCAAAAATCGCATTAATGTCAGATGGCGTTAACATAATAATAAACTGTTAAAAGGAGTGACAAAGAATAATGAACTGTTTAAAAGAGAACGACAAAGGTATGTGATTATATGAAGAAAGTATATGATTATGAATAATAACACGTTCGCAGTACAGTATAAAACTTTTTTACTTTTTTTTACTTTTGGAAAAGCACGATAAAAATATATATCTTTATTACTACGCCATTTGATAGAAAGAAAAAAACGTTAAAGCGATTGCTTAAAAAAAAAAATTTAAGAGAATTTTAGGCCATGATGTATCCATAAAATAATGATCATAGAGTTAAAACCTGGCTAATTTTTCTAATCTGGATATAAATATTATATAAAAATTAAATCCAGATTAATCTATTTAAATCTGAATATAAATATATTCGGATTAATCCAATTTATGAAACTGGATATAATAATTAATCTGGATATATTTTATAATCCAGATATATTTATAATCTAGATATATTTTATAATCCAGATATATTTTATAATCCGGATATATTTATAATTTGGATATATTTTATAATCTGAATATATTTTATAATCTAGATATAATAATCAATCCGGATATATTTTATGATCCAGATGTAATAATTAATAATAATCTGGATATATTTTATAATCTAAATATTTTATAATCTGGATATACCGATACTTACAATCTGCGAATTACACTAGTTGTATACATTTTTATTAACTGCTAACTATCATTAATCCCGAATCCCTAATAAAATATCATGCCCACATAACTAACATAATGTTCAAGCTAAATTGCACATATCACTCTCAAATCAGAGTATTACACCAGATATCAGAGTTAATACCCAGATTTATAAATCCGGATTTATATTATGTCATGTGATATAGTATTATTAAATAAATTCTGATATAAATTTATATCCGGATTTATACTATGATAAGCTAGATTGAGGTATTAACTCTAATCTGGATATAATTAAAAACTGAACTTTTTAAAATTTAAATAAATATTAAAACTAATCAGAAACCACATTTAGTATGAAGATAAATATTTAAGGCTATTAAAAAGTTCAACTGCTATTAATTTCAGATCAAAGTAACTCTAATAATAATATTAGATAGCTGTGCGACGCAGTCGTGCTTAAACCAGAAACATAGCATATATATTTTCTAGAGTTTTTTTAAAATAAAATTTATTTACTGCATAATGTTTTTTTTTGTTTTTTAAATATCGAAATTTAACTATAATTATTCTTCTTGTAATTTATATGTATACATTTTCACATCCGTCCTAAGAATTAGATATCATCGTAAATTTTCTGTAGACATATAAAATAGGGATTATTGGTTAAACAAAGTAGAGATTTTAATCTCAATAACATTCAGATCTGATGACCTGACAATTTATCAATAATGGATCAATCTTATGGTTATATATTTAAGAAATGAAGTAAATATAAATAAAAGTGCACACGTTGAATCCAAAGTTATGATCTATTTGTAGTAATAACTTTAGATATCTGAAATAGCATTAGATAAATCTATTACTTGATGATATATGAATTTCTAAAGGTTTAATTTCACTATTTCTACTTCAGTTATCTGAAATCGCTACATAGAGATAAAATGTTGAATGTACTAATACATGCAGGAGTTTAATGGAAGCCAATTGAGCTGTAATGGATCTATGAATGGAGCCAATGAATACTAGTTTCTTGAACTTCATTCACAAAACTATTGAGCTCCATTGGCTTCATTAAAGGATCACAAATATATGAGTTGTGTACAATTTTATTCAGGCATATAACTTATATACGTACATACATATATATATGTATATGTATTAATATAAGATTTGCATACTGGCCATTTTAGTTTTCTGTTAACTATACATTTCGTAATTTACATTACTATGTACCTGGTATAAGTGCATAAGAATTTAATGATTTACTATGATTGGTTGCAATTTTTCACTCTCACGCACTTATATGATAAGTTCTAAAAAATTTGTACATTTGTATGTATATGCATATATGTACGTTGTAGAAGTGTAATCTAACTCTAATATCAACAAATAATGCAATATACAACTCAACATCTCTAAACTAATATCAAACAAGATCCAAAATTCCCGAATTGGTAGCTTCGATCAGGGCATGGTTAGATTTGGTCCGAGTTGAAGACTTTGGTCTTGCAGGTTGCTACTAGGACTTCGATAAGTATCTCTTTTACTTTAGGCAAGTATTTTTTTGTGCTAAATATGGTGCCTTTTATTAATGTCTTTGCTATATTTTCTCGTTATTACTAGTATACTGCTTATTTTTAGATCACGGGATTATGTGATTTATTTCTGCATCAGTGGATGCTGAAATACAATTACGTAGTTACGATCAAAATCGAATTACGTATGTATTGCTTAACAATAGGATCAATCACAAATACAATCACTATGTTTTTATATAAATAGGGGTCGATTACTAATATGATCTCTTTCCTTTACTTCGAACAAAATAACAAAATTAGGTCTAACAAGAATTACGGGGACAAGAAATCTCAATAAATAAGAATACAATAACGACGTGTAACTAAAGGGCACAAGAGAACTACTACTATGGTTTGCTTAGTAGTTTCGAACTCAAGAGGAACTCAAGGGGAGTTTAGAACTCAATGGAGTTGCTTTATTCAAGGTAAAATATCAGTCATTTATATATCTTTTCATTACATGTGAAATAAATTTTGAAAATTTCTACTATTTACACTTTTTGCATAATTTATCTGTTTGCTATAATTTTGTTGTTTTACTGAATTTAAAATTTACGAAATTTTCAAAATCGATCTTGTGCTACACCGATTGCGCATCTTTACCAAGTGGAGCGAATTCAATGTTTACAATGTACGTGTTCATATTGCATAAACTTGAATCATTTATCGCATATTAGCTAAATATAAAGAGACTTAAATAAATTATTAGATGCTAATCCAGATAGTGTATTGGCATTAAAAAATTAAAATGCAACATATTATCAGCTAAAGATTTAAATAAACCATTAAAAATTGCTTCAAATGATGATTTGCTTTAAGAATCAGTGTTATACGCTATCAACTACATAGATACAACCAATTCAGCAAATCTTTAAAAATAGATTAAAATAATGCAGATACATTAAGAAAGCATAAGCTTATCACATTATGGATAGGCATACAAACTTAAATAAATCATTAGAAATTGAATCAGATGAAGTATTCATACCAAAAAGTCGTGAGAAAACTTATTGTAAAATGGACAAATATAAGAAATCACTTGATAATTTAAATAAATCATTAAAAATTGATCCAAAAAGTGCAGGTCCATTAAAAAAACTCATTATTGATTAGGAAGATATGAGAAATCGCTTGCAGATATAAATTACTCATTCAAATAGTGCAGATAAAAAAAACATATCTAATATATAGTAAATATAAAGAATTACTTGCAGATCTATATTAACTATTAATGATCGAAAAAAACAATGCAATTGCATTAGGGAGTAGCATTATCACAGGTAGATATGAACCTCTTTTAGACTTAAATGAATCATTATAGGATTAATAACAGATGAAATGCTTATTTACTATGCTTCATATAGTAATAGTCAACTAAGTTGACTAAGTTTAATTAAAATTATCAACTTATAAAATTTATCGACTTATAAAATTTATCGACTATATACACAGTGAAAGATTCTAATCAATAATCAATATTATTTCTTCACTGTACTAATCAAACCTTTATAAAAAAAATAAAAAGAAAAAAAAAAATAGGAAAGAAATAAGAAAGAAAAAAAAAAAAAAAAAAAAAAAAAAAAGTTATTTATTTTCTAAAAATGGATAATTTCTTTTTAAGAATAATATTATGTTTACTAAATCTGGTGCAAGGCGAGTTCTTTTTGCAGATATAAGAGCACCAGCATTAGAGAACAAACGCTCAGAAGGAACTGATGTTGCAGGAACAGCTAAATATTTGCAAGCAAGCTGAAAAAGCAGTGGAAAATTTGCACGTCATTCCTTCCACCATATTAGAGGATCTTGGCTTTTATAAGCAATTTGCTCTTTCAAATACTTCGTCAGCTCATCTTCAGTAATAGTTTGTGGAGTGGGTGTTGAAAGTGAACCCCATAATTCAGCACTTAACAAATCGTATTCTTCTTTTTCTGTAGTAATACAAGCTTCTATTTTATCATTGTTCTGTCTAAATTGCGCTTCCAATATTGATAACTCTGCATGAATTTGTGCTTTAGTATTTCTATGTTCATCCTCAGTAGCGAATAGAAGTAATTTTAACACTCTTGGATCTAACATAGATGCTTTTAATCCTATTTCATCAGGGATACTCTACAATTTGTCAAGAGATAAGTAAATCGCAGCGCGTATTTTTTCTAAAAGTCCTTCACACTTTGTAGAAGGCAAATATTTTATGTTATTTGTGTCATCTAATTTAGCAACAGATTTTACTACATGTTCAAACAATAAAAATATCTTAATTTATTATAATTAAAAAGATAAAAATACATAAGGCCACACCAAGCTAATGTTTCATTTTGCATAGCCTGCAAACTTTTTTTTTTTTTTTTTTTTTTTTTTTTTATTGAGTACCAATAGTTATATTTTTGCAATTTATTTTTTTCCATCATTTTTATTTGATAGAGACCACCTGAATTATCTGATAGAACAAACAAAATAAAAAAAGGCCAACAATCGACTTAAATTTCAGATTTCAGGTAATACAAAATGAAAAATTAATTTAGTGTAGCCTAATATATATGCACAAGAACATTTTAAAAATATCGCATCTCTTATGTTTGCCACTTCTACAGCCTCGGCCTCGGCTATGTATACTCCGATGTGCATACTGCCATTGTTGTCTAGTTCCAGCTGAAGGTATGTTGGCCTCATCACTGCTACTAACACTTGTATCATCATCTGAAAGGTTCTCTGATATTTGTTCAGAGTTTTCTGGTAAAGATCCATAGATAAGAGCTATTCACTTTTCAAAAGATTCACCATTCTCAACTCATGGTGCATACTTATTTTTTAACATACGAATATAAGGATATATAAGATTTATGGTAGAATATTTGAAGCCACTGAAATGTCTTGTAATTTCTTCAAAAGGTTTCAAAACATCAACCACTTCTTCTACAAATCTTAATATAAAAAAAAAAAACTAGTAAATATGTAACTATAATACGTGCATGAAATTCGAAAGAGTTTGAAACTGTGAAATCTTTTTTAATTGTTTAACCACATTGTTAACTATATCGTTTAACTGTGTTTAATTTATATCAATATAATGTGGTCTAAAGCATCAGGAACTCTAAAAACAAAACATAGTCATAATCCATTCGGATCTTGATTGTGAGTTTGTATTAAATTAACAACCTTCAAAAGGTTTAACCAGTTGTTATTTTCAGCAATAATAATATCCATCTATAATAGATATTAGTTTTTGTGTAAACGGTCATTTACCTGATAAAACTTCTGAAGTAATATAGAGCAGATACCAAAAATACCATATTCTGGATAGTATCTTTTTTTCAATACAATCCTAGATCTGTGATATAAGATTATATATTTTCGTTAGTACTTTGGTCTTACAAAATGTTATCACTATGAAATCAGTATGAATACATTCTGTGTAGTCATAAATACTATCTACCTGATATGAAATATCTTTAAGCATTTGTAGTTTAGTCTACTATGCAAGTTTACTAAAATTTCTTAAAGGCTTCTATTATTAGCATTCTGAAATATCATCAAAATTTAATCATAAATTAATTATTTTTTTCTTAGACCTGGCCAATATCCTGAGTACAATGATGCTGGGCTCGTATATACATATGTACCAAGGTTTAATCATATAAATTCAAAACTAATTAAGCGAATAATTTAACAGTTAATTAATCGTTTAACTATATAAAATAAATAAACAGTTAAATGCAGTTAAATAATTAACAGTTCCAATCCCTAGCATGAAATAACATCTTGTGGTGTTATTATATGCGATAAAAATACTTAAAACTAAATACTTTTTTTCTTCAAGAGTCAAACACAATTGATCTAGTTTTTCTCCCTCCTTTTTAAATATTGTGTCTGGCTTGAACTATAATGATGCAGCTAGTAAACATATTGCTGGATACAATTCTAATATTCTTTTCTAGGCCAAATAGACCGAGTTCCAACGTGTCCTACAGTCAGTTAATATTTCAAGATGATTAACTATTTCATCATTATTATCAATGTTTTGAGATTCTGCCGATGCATGACACACTTGCATTTCCTTTAATCTTTGGACTTGTTTTGGCAAACGAAAAAATGTTTAATGTTTTTAAGATGTTGGTGAATATGCTTAATCTGCTTCAATCCTTTGTTCACAGAGAGCTGAAGGGTATGCGTGGCACAAGAATGCCAACAAGCTTCTACAAAATGATCATCTTTTAATAACCTAATTCCTTTCACCATATTGGCACCATTGTTTGTAACGATCATGCACACTTTATTTTCTATGTTCCATTCACTAATAATATTAAAAAGTTCTTTACTAATGTCTTCGCCCGCATGTGGGTAGGGCATGTTATGACATGTCAATAACATTTCTTGAAATTCAAAATCAGAAATAAGCCATGTTGCGGTGACACCAATATATTCGTGCTTACTTTTTGAGGTCCACAAATCTGTCGTTAAGTGAATTATAGTGGCAATGTTAGCCAAGATTTCTCGAAGCCGATCTATCTCTTTAGAATATGTTTCTAAAATATGTTTCTTAACAGTACTTGCGCACGGTACTCGATATTGCGGTTGAAATTCTAAAAGCAATCACTGAAAAGATGAGTCTTGTAATATGTATAAAGGTTGAATGTCATATACAATAAATTCTATCAGAACTTTAATAAGTTCATTTTGTCTTTTAGTTGAAAGTGAAGGTAAATTGGTAATATAATTTGTGATTAGATTCACTTTTACTATTGGCTATATAACATACATTTAAAAAGCAAAAAAAAATATAAGTTATATAAAATTTTATTGATTAATCAATTAAATTAATTTTAGTTGATGCCTTAAACATTCTATCTAATTAAATTACATACTTCTTGAGATGAATCAAGATGTTCTTTATAGTTATTCGCAGTGATATTATGTCTTTCACGAAGATGGTATGTTAAATGTCCTATACTACCACCTGATTTAGAATATGGATATGGCTTTATGTGGGTCCCTTTATATTCTTTGACACAAATTTTATAGTATTTAATTTGATCATATTTCTTGTTATCTTCAAAAAAAAAACGAGTATAACTAGCATTAGTTCTTGAACTGTTTATTTGAATAGGTGTGGAAAAAGCTGATGGTTTAGTTGTTTTGATCATTCGTCTTTTTTTTCGATCATGATTTAAAAATTCTGTGATATGTAAATGTTCATTATTAACTTCATTATTAATTTCATTATCTGGTTCATTATTAATTTCGTTATTTAAAACAGGACTATAAACAGTGCTTTCTTGGGATGACTAAGAGACTTCGTCTTCTAATGATATTGACAATGTTGATCGTTCTTGAGAAAACATTTTTTATAATCATAGAACATACAATAAAATTGATTCATATATTGTAAGAAATTTAATTATAACATATAACATATATATAACGATAAAGTTTAATCCGTATAGTATCATATGGCAAACAATATGGTTGATTTATACATTATTAAGAAGCTTGATTATTCAATGGCATAATTCTATCATATGACAGACTTAGAATTCATTAAATTCTTTTCTTATCAAATTTGAAATAATATTCGATTTGGTATAATTCACAAATATGACATTTTAAATAATAACTGATTACTTTGTATGATTTACTTGTTAAAATTAAAGTACGTACATACGTACGTACCATAAAAATCAATTTATATATCGTAAAAAGTTTGATTATACTGTATAACATGCATAAATTTTATGAATATCGATATACACAAAGTTTATCAGGTTTGTTAATTTTTCCACTGGTTCCTATTGGACGAAATAGATCTCATCAAACTTAAAATTTTGATTCAATCAAATAATGACATACTTATTAAAGTATCATTAGAGCAGTATAAGGTTTAATAGAACATATACAAAACTTTTGCAAAAAACTTTTTGCTATAGGAATGTTAAAAGTTCGGACTGGTTAATTTCTTAAAAAGTCTAATCCCAAACTAGCTAAGAACTAGTTCATAACCCTTTCTGAAACCAGTCTAATCCTAGTGGTTTAATATATAGAACAATATTGCAAATTAAAAGGCTTTGAAATCACAAACTTATAGGACTAGTTTTTGTTCGAATTAGTTTGAACTGTCCCTAAAAAGAATAGCCATTCACCAAGCATCCCTATTTTGCTAGAAAGTGAAAGATGGTGTCGTAGGGGTTTCTAACTCAAATGTCAAGCTCGCTATATTTCGTTGACCCTCAAAAGGTCAAACGGGGCAAAGTATCTCAACTCGAAAATAGGATATTTGGTAAGAAAAAGCACTTCTTATTTTTTTATTTACTCTTTTTACTTATATACTCACTTTGACTATTTTAAATTACATCATATTTCGATCACATTTGACTTTTTAATTAATCTCTAATCACGCTATTTTCTATAAACCTTATTACGACATTTCTCATGCATCGCTTACTAATTCGTGCGTCACTGATTTAACTAAACTTTATTCCCATATGCCCCAATCTTATGATCCCGATCCTATATCGATGGTGACGTCATTTATTTCAGCATCAAAAGATGCCGAAATATGCTAATACAAAATTTTTTTATTTAATTAATTAATGTATAGCGGTTCTATACCCTGGGTAAGTGCACCATGCATTGCGCAATTCTACCACAGTGGTTTTAAGTTACTATGTAGTAATTTTTGAATTTTAACCTTGAATTGGATCTTACATTATTTGATTCGTTAAATTAAGGTTAGGTTTTGTATTAGATTAAGTTAGGAGTGAGAAAAGCTTTTTGTTAGTGAGCAAAAGGTAATTCGTAGAAAAATATTATGAACGATTTTCTCGAATTTATTCTATTGTGTTATGCCTGATCTTGAATTTTGATTGGGCAGTAAAAGTTTCTTGAGCGGTTGAAGCATTCTCAATCACATTCCAATTCAATGTAATTTTTTCACCTCTTACAAACATGAAATATCCTGTTATTCGGGATCAACATATGATTATGCATATGATACATCCTACGTATTCTTGGTTAAGACATGTTTTTATTCACTCAGATAATTAAGAATGAATATACGTAGTAATTTTATAATGATTAGTTGATATTTAGATTTATTTATGTCCAGATTTATATGTGGGTCTAATGTTTGGATCCGTGGATATCCGACTATTTTTTGCTCAATCCACTGGATTTTTATATTCGGTCACAAACTATCCGCTGAAATCCGGTGAAATCCGTTTAAATCTATTGAAAATAAATTTATTAATAAAAATAAGAAAAAATAAAAAACAATTTATGCTGCCAATAAATTAATAAATTGCAGTGTTATCAATTACACTATATACAGTACACTATACATATATGTTTGTTAGTCTTGAATAAACATCATGCCAACATAATTTATGTTACTTAAGAAAACATCATGCTAACATAATTTAGGTTTCTTTTGAGAAATAGCATTCATTCAAACAAATCAGGGTTTAAATGCTAACTTCTTTTTCTTGACCCTTCTTTTTTTTGGGTTCGTTAGATTTATCATTGTCTAATGAAAGTGTTGTAGGTGTGATATCCGTCAAAGAAACCCTATTAAAGCCTTCGTTAAAACTTTCTCAACTACTCTCCATTTCCATTAATGGCAAATACTGTAGAGTTAATTAACTTTTATATGTTACACGGGGCAAGCGACACACTGGTACGTATTTATTAGGTATAATTTTACAAGACGCATTGATTAAGCCTTCAATTTAAATTTATTTATTTTTCGATTACATCAGTGATGCATCAAAATAGACTTAAATTAATTATATCGTCATCACTTTTGAGTTAATCCGGATGATTCGACGGATAGCGAATAAATATCCACCGGCGGATATCTATTAAATATCCGATGAATTGTTTCAACGGATCCAATCACTATCTGGGTCCTTTGCGAGTCACCCTTATGTCAAGAAAATCCCGAGCTTCTGACCAAAAAAAAAGGGAAATATAGGTTCATAGTATCTCAAAATTTTCTTATATATCTAACATTAAAAATTGTGCTTTTAAGTAAAATTCCGTGCTGAAAGCTTTTACTTAGAGATCGGAAGTTAGTTGTTATAATAACTTTTTGTGTTATTTATGTTTTTTATAATTTCTTATATTTGTTGCGTTTGATTTGTTACGCAATATCCTGTAATTTTATTGGATCCGGTTAGGTAAGAAGTGAGAGATTTTCTTGCACCCATTCGGATTTATTTATTAATATTATATCCGGATTTATTTATATCTGGATCTAAATATTATATCCGGATTTATTTATATCCGGATATAATTATTATATCCGGATATATTTATATCCAGATATATTTAGTTCAAAAAATCAAATCCGGATTTATTTAAAATCCGGATTAATCCGGATATAAATATAAATCCGGATTCATCTATTACCTCTAGACGATCATAATTAGCTACTGTAGTACAGTGATGATTTTTTGCCCAATCAGCAACGGGATGATCGTCATCCAATCCGACAATGGCCAATGGCTTGAAGATGTCAATGGACTATGTTCATTGACATTTCTCTCAGAACTCATCATAGTCCCTGGTGTGAAACACATGAAAAAATTCTTTTACAATACTTGAACAATCTTGATCAGTTAGCTAGTAGATCCACTAGCTGACTGATCAAGATTGTTCAAGTATTGTGTAACATCAACGTTCCCTCCTGTGGAAATTAGGGCACTTTTTATAGAAATTCAACGGTTCTGGATAATCCACCTACTGAAGATGAAATATTCAAGTTATATTGTGAGAAGGTTCTTCTGAATTTGTATGTTTCCTTCAATATCTGTATTATCAATCATCAAAGATATACTATTCGTTGTATTTCATTTACAAAAAAGCTTCCATTTTTTTGACATTCACTCAACCATGCTACGTAATATTGGCGAACGCAAATATATTATTTACGTATCTATGTTTTGACTGGCTAGAGTCACATACTTGTTCAGCGAAAATAATAAAATCATCACAATGCTCAGGAATTGTGAAAGTCGATGCAAAAGTAACAAGATCTTCGAACGGTCTTTAAAAAGACCATGGATATGGGCCGTACTGACGGAATGAAAAAGTTGAATTTTGTGTTATCAACATGGAATCGGAATTAAAAAGGAAGAACATAGTGCGTTCATTTATTATCAAGAATCAGCTAATGTGGGTGACGTTATTGGAATATTTAATTTTGGTATCTGTTATGAAAAAGAAATTGGTGTCAAAGGGGACGAGCGCAAAGCAGAACAAGGTCATGTTGATGAGATATCTAATGTCGGTTATTATTACGAACATGGGATTAATGTGGAGAAGAATGAACATAAAGCCTTTGAATATTATCAAAAATCTACGAATATGATGGAACTTTTAACGTTGGTGACTGTTATCAAAATGGAATCAGAGTCGAAGGGAACTATTCTAAGACGTTTGAATATTTTCAAAAATCTGCAGACTTAAAACATGTTGAAGGAACATTAATGTTAGTCTATGTTATCTATATGGATTTGGAATCGAAGAAAATAACACAAGGCATTCGAATATTATTAAAAATCTGCGGACATGAGCCATGTTGATGGAATCTTAATGTTAGAAATTGTTATCGTTATGGAATCAGAGTCGAGAACGAACAAACGTGAAGCCTTCGAATATTATAAAAATCTGCGGACACAGGTCATGTCGATGGAACAATCAATGTTGGATATTGTTATTCAAGCGGAATCGGAACGAAAAGAATGAGCAAAAGTCATTGAAATACTATGAAGAATCTGCCAATTTGGGTAATCCTAAAGGAACACGTAATATAGGAATTTGTTATGAGAAAGGAATTGGGTAGAAGATAAACAAAAGGCATTTATTAGCTATCAAAAAACGGGTGATATTGCTGGAATAAAATAATACCCAGTGCTATCGAAATGGAATCGGGGTTAGAGAGATTTACAGAAATCAAATCATTAATATCAAAGGTAAAACTATTTTAATTTATATTTAATAAATAATTTAAATGTATAAATTAGTTTTAATAAATATTTTGAATTATTAGAATGAAAAATTCGATAACGGGTAAGCTATATTTTTCTTTTAATTCTTATTACTGTATTAGTTCAATATTTAAAACCTAAAAAAATGTATAATCATATATTTTTTAGACAAATTTATTAGTTATTAGAATTTGAAAATGCTTTGACATTCTTGGACATTTAGACATATAGATTTTGAACATGATCAAAAAGCCTTAGACAGTGAAAATGTACAACACTATCTCAAAGTACAACTACGTTCAAGTTTCTGGTTTGGATATTTTACTCAGGTACTAACAGAAGTGAAGGTTCGATTTAAAGATCGAACCTTAATTTGTCATGTGCGATCACATCATCGATCTTTATTAATAAGCTATCATTGACTCTTAAATTACAGTACGATTATGCATCATTATACCTTTATCGCACAACCTTAGTACCTTATGCCCCGGATCGTATACCACCTGCGTCCAATCGAAACCCGACAGTATGCCTTTTAAATTTTTAAAATCCATTTAATTTCTTCTATTTGCATTATTTTAAATTCCACAATTCACAATTTCTAAAATTTACAAAATTTATTTGTAAAAAAAAAGCACCGCTCGATTTTCTGAGGGTAACAGTTTATTGGAGTAAAAATCGACCGTTTCATGTTCCCGAAATAACCCATAGGCAAGGACACGGAAAAGTTAATTCGATTAAAAACAAAATTTCGATTCATTTCGATTTGACCGGAATTAAGAAAGAAACAAAGATAATCCTGGCTGAAATTAAAATGTTGAAAATCATAAGGTGATCATTTATATCACATGATCCAAATTTTATAATTCCTAAAGATCTCCGTGCCATAGGCACTCAAAATAACTCATAGATATGGTATGTATTATTACTATATATTTATTTAACATATTTAATTATCGCGGTTTGTATATTGATATTACTTTGATCAAATTTGTGCGATTGTTCAATGATATTTTAGTGAGCATAGATATGACCGACAAATTTTATGAAAAATTGTATATTTATATTGAATCTTTAGCCAAAAAACGTATTTTGCAATCATGCAATCAGACAACAATCAGTTGATTGTACGGGTGTGCGAGATCTACAAATTTAATTGTTGACCAGCGAATTTTAGTTGACCAACGATTTGATCAACTCTGAATTATAAAGGATTATATCCGTATATGATTTACCCACACGTTCATGCCGGTTCATCTGAACGATGAACTATGCTGGAAGTGCGACAGGAGATTATCACTTAGTCATCTGACGGTGACCTCTTCGACGCAATCTTGTCTACTAGTTTAACTATCTGGTGATTAGTCGGCAGAGGTACAAGCAAAAAGACCTCATTTAGTCATCTGACGGTGAACTTCCTGCTTGTAAAGGTAGGTCAATAAGTTTCGTTTAGTCATCGGACGGCGAACTGGTGGAAATTTGCATCATATAACGCTTTAACGCTATATATATGTATTTTAATAAATATTTATTTACCACTTTAGCCAAATTACGAAGTTTAGAGCTAAACCATAGACTCGCAGATAATAAAGTTTCCCTTATTTTTAGTGTCGTCAATTGAATTATTTTAATAACTTATAACCTCCTTATATTATCCATTTACATTGTTTAAAATTTAAGCTTCTTACTTTTTAATATAAATAGTTCATATGCCGCGAAGTCCAAATAACTGGTGTTTCATTTGTTATCAACCTGACTTGGTTATATTTTTTGGGATTTATAATTTAATATACATAGTGCACTACGGTCATCGGTTTCATGTGACTGATTTAAGGTTAACTTATATTGGTATATAATTAATAATTTAAGTTAATAAAATTTAATACGTAAGAGTTAATTAACATAAAATGGTATAATTTATTCAACAAATGGATAATGAAACTTTAAGTACTAATGTCAATGTGATTTCAATAGAAGAAGGCAATTCATTCGCTAATACCAACGCCAATGTAATCACAATAGAGAAAGGCAATTCATTCAATAATACAAATGTAATGTGATTACAATAGAGGAATTGATAATACCAATACTAATGCGATCACAATAGGGGAAGGCAATTCGTTCGATAATTTTGAACATAATGATATATACAAAACTATGCTAAATTAAATAGCTTTAAAATAAGATTGAGGTGAAGTACTATAATCAATATGATTGAAAATGAAAAACATAATGAAAAGAACTATATATTGTCATCATTCAGGTTAATTCAAATCTACTAACCTAGAAAAGTTCAGGGTAACAATTAAGTAAGGTTGTTTCTGGTATGTTAATCTTTTGCATCCTATAAAATTGAATATTATTTTTTATTAAATTAGTAAACAAAAACATAACATGTATTTAGATACATTATGATTTGAAAAATAAAAAACCCTTACAAAGAATATAAAAAAGAATGGAGTTTTATGTAAACCAATGTTATATTAATATAACAACTATTTAAAAATTTTTGTTTAAAAAATATCTTTTTTATTCTATTTTTTCAAAAAATCTTTATATGAAATTTAAACTTATAAACTTTTATTATATGAAAATTCAGACCTACAAATCATTATTATATAAAAACTCAGACCTACAAATTATTAATATGTAAAAATTTACTTATAAATTATTATTATATTACAAAAAAGTTATATAACATATTTTTATAATGAATTATTTATTAAACAACATAATAATCTAAGATAGTTTGTAAAAACTATTTGGAAAAAAGAAATTCATGCATTTATAGATTTTTTTAAATAAGTCTTAAACAAATATTATTATAATATAAGTGTAAAAAATAATTAGATATAATAATATTTTAAAACTAAGTTTTTATATATTATTAATATTTAATAGATCAGTTACAAAGCTTATAAATTAAATAGTTTTTAAAATCATACAAATAGTATAGTCTTGGTAATATGGTTATCTCAAAAATGCAATCAAGAATAAAATTAACTTATTTCAAAAATAAACTGAAGGTTTACTTAGTTATATAATAACTATAATTAAAAACTTATATATAATACAATCAACTTTAAACTTAATCATCTCAAATTTTTTAAAATCCAAATTCTACTAAATAAATTACATACACATTTTCTTTATTTTAAAATACACTTATATATTTTCTATAATACAAACTGCTTTTACTATAACCTATTTAACATTTTAACACATTGATAAACATGTTTTAATTTCATATTATTCACTAATATTATACAAGATACTATTTTTAAACATATTAGTCAAAGCAACTTGGATTTATTTAAACTTTAATAAGAAAATTTTATTCAAAAAATTTAAAAACAAAACTTTTTATTATGTACTGTTTAATGAAAACTCATTCTATTTTAATACTATATTTAAAAAACTTATATCTAAATCTCTAATTTAAATAATTCAAAACCTTAATATTTTTTATAAATTAGTATTACAAATTACTAATAAAATATTTTTTAAAATCAATAATCTATATCACAAACTATTCTAAAAATCATATTGTATAAACTTCTTAAATTGGA